TAGTCGTGACGTCATCACCCGATAATTCTCAATTATCACGATAAAAATTGTTCTTTCATGATATTACTATCATGATGACATCTCCTGATATTGCTACTTCACGATAGCAATTCATCTTTACACCAAAATTGCTTCTAATGAGAATTGAACTATAGATCATCTTACATTAGGTATGCTTTAACAAGTCTTCTACCATCTCATCCATCTCAACCTTTGGTGACTTGATGCTTCATAAATCTGTTAACCTATGATCCCGCTTTCATTTATTCTTCCTTCAAACTGCTTTTACGTAGACTTCATGTAGGCTTCATGGCAGTGGTGCACTATACTTTGTGAACCAAAACTGACTCAAATAAAATAAAATTGGGGTCTACAAAATACATTTGGCTCATCAAAACTTATACAATATATTCCTAACATCGAGGTAATTTCGTTTAATCCCTCTAGTCCTTACTCCAGAGGATGGATCTCCTATGATATTTTGAGTAGGGTGATCTTTGTGAAGTCGTATAGTTCCGTCGAGTGCTCCAGCATCTGGGTCTGGACTAGGTTCTGGACTAGTATCTGGAGGAGATTGAGTAGAATCTAATGATGTAGTTTCAGGGGATTCTGGATTATTTGTGTCAGGTTCTGGAGTAACTTCTGGGTTAGAGACGCTTATAACCTCAGTTATTTCCTCAGGTTGATCATCAACCACCACGTTTGCTGATTCCATGATGGATTTTGTAACTTTGTTGTAGACACGGTAGGCACGACTATTCGTTGAATACCCAAGAAAGTACCCTTCATCACTTTTAGGCTCGAATTTTCCGGTTGAGTTTCGATCCTTCAAGATAAAACACCGTGAGCCAAAAATGTGAAAGTAATTAATATTAGGCTTCTTACCTTTCCATATTTCATATGGAGTATGATGCGTTCCGGGTCGTAGATATACTCGGTTTATCGTGTGACAAGCAGTACATACTGCTTCAGCCCAAAATTTTTGAGGCAAGTCTTTTGCATTGAGTAGAACCCGAGCCATCTCTTGAATCGTCCGATTCTTTCTTTCAACCACGCCATTTTGTTGTGGTGTTTTGGGTGCTGAATACTCATGGAAAATACCGACTGATGCACACCAATCATCAAATACTTGATTGTCGAATTCACGTCCATGATCACTTCTAATGCGTATGATTGACTCATCTCTCTTTTTGGAGTTTTAGGGCCAGGGCTTTGAAGGTTTCGAAAGTTTCTGACTTTTCCCTGAGAAAACTGACCCACGAAAACCTAGAAAAATCGTCAACACAAACTAAAATGTACCTTTTACCTCCAATGCTTTCTGTTCTGGTAGGTCCAATGAGGTCCATGTGAATGAGTTCCAGACAGTGTGTGGTATTGATCAGATTTTGAGAGGTATGTGCTGCTCTAGTTTGTTTTCCAGCTTGACAGGCACTGCATACTCCAGCTTTTTCTACCTTGATACTAGGTAGACCTCGAACACCCTCAATCTTGATCAATTTTTCAAGTGAGCGATAATTCAAGTGACCTAACTTTTGATGCCACAGTTTTGATTCTTTTATGCTGGACCTGTAACAATAAGAATCGTTAGTAAGTATATAGCAATTATCAGAAGAGCGTTTACCTTCCATGACACAGTTCTTTTTGTAGTCTGTAACGTTGCAACTGTCTTTTGTAAAGCAGACTTTCCACTCCTGATCACATAATTGGCCGATACTAATCAGATTTGCATGCAGACCTTCCACCAATAGAACTTGTTGGAGTTTGGGTAGACCTGTGACATTTAGAGTGCCAATTCCAGTGATCTTTCCCTTTAACACCGTCACCAAAAGTTACTTCTCCTGTACTTCCCTTTATGTTGTTTAGGTACTTAGGATCACCCGTCATATGCCGCGAGCATCCACTATCAAAGTACCATCTCTCTTTTCTGTTAGTACTCGTAGAGTGGAAAGAGACATGACATACAAAGTCACTTTTCTTCACCCAAATTTGCTTGACAAATGGGGTGATAGATTTGTTTGTGTATTTCTCACAACGTTGGTCTTTGTAGAAGTAGAAGCACTCCGGTTTTGTATGTCCGCGTACCCTGCAGTAATGACATATAGGATTATACACTCTAACCTTGATTGATGTTTTCCTTGGAGCAAAGTTAACTTCACACCGAGCTGTACTAGTTTCTGGACGATCTTGATCTGCTCCAGAGACTGAGTCAGAGCCTGAGGCTTTGACGAAAATTGTAGTAGCTTTGTCCTTTCCTCCAGAGTAGCCTAACCCATACTTTGTAGACGTCTTTCGACCAGAATCTAAAATTTGGTCTAAGGTGGATGTGTTGTCCATCATTTTTATCTTGCGTTTGAGTTGCTCCAGTTCCTTTTTGAGATCTTCTAGCTCATGTTTGAGATTTTCTTCTTTCTTGTGACTGTCTTCAATGATGCTGTCCTTGTCAGATAATTTAGATAGATACACTATTTTGGCATTTTCTAGAATGCTAACCTAACTAGACAGAGACCTATTGACTTTTACAAGAATTTCCCATTTAGCATACAATTTTTTATATTCTACTTCAAATGAAGGTGCAGGTAAATCTTGGTCTTCTAATGACACATACTCTTCAATTTCTGATTCTTCACCAGTTGTAGTAGCAGATACGGTAGTTGTAAGAGCTGCAAAGGCAACAAAGTTTCCGGAGATCTCATCTGGATCAGAACTTGGATCAGTTTCTGGTTCATCATCATCACTCCAGGTAAGGGCAACTTTCATTGACTTCTTCCTTCTCAAATAGGTTGGACATTCAGCCTGCACATGGCCATACCCTTCACATTCATAACATTTGATCCCTTTGCCTTCGGTTTTGTCTTTAGATTGAGAGTTCCGAGAAGCACCTGGTCGTTGGCTGGATGAGTTTGATCTTTGATTGTTTCGATTTGCACTTAATCCTGATCCTTTTTGACCTTGAAACTTGCCAAGCTTTCCAGTTTGTCTTTGTTTTACCTGTTGCAACAATTTAGAAAAACCTTTAGTTAAAAAGACTACTGAATCATCACTTACCTCATCTGGATCAGAAACAGCTCCAGCGTCTTCTACAGTGAATGCTACGGTTTTCCCTTTTGTTTCAGGTCTGCCTAAGATTTCCATCTCATAAGTTTGTGGGCTTCCCATCAATTGTTGTACCGTTTTCTTTTCCCATCCATCGTGCTCCTGAATGGCTGTAACTTTCATTCGAAACCTTGGAGGGAGTGAGCGAAGAATCTTTTTGACGAGTCGTTCTTGAGTGATTGGTTCGCCTAGAATGCTTGCCCTATTGGCTAGTTCTTGTACCCGAGCATGAAAATCCACTATGGTTTCATCATCTTTCATCTTTAGATCTTCAAAGTCGGTTTGAACCATTTGGAGTTTGGATTGTTTAACTGATGCAGTTCCTTCATAGGTAGTTTCTAGGGCTTCCCCGGCTTCTTTGGCCGAATCACATCCTGCAACAATGGTAAATTGACTCTCATGCATTAAAGAAAATATAGTATCTAACGCTTTATGATTGAAGTTTGCGGTAGTCATCTCAGTCTTTGTCCATTCTGCTTCTGGTTTGAGGACTGGAGGATCTCTTGTATTGTCTCCATCTTTGGTGGGATGAGACCAACCAGTGAGAACAGCCCTCCAGACCCTCTCCCCTTGAGCTCGTAGATGCATTTTGGTGCGGGCCTTCCAGTACGCATAGTTGTCACCTGTTAGCTCAAGAGGTGCTCTATGTCGTTCCATTCTGTAAGACTCAATGCACAGTGAGCAACAAGTAAACCAGATAAACAAAATAAGAGACAGATAATGAGATCTTGAGTTCAAAAAACACGTGATAGCCAGATCGGTTAGACTAGTAATTTAAGTCCCCGGGCTCTGATACCAATTGAAAAAGCACGTGAGTCTTGAATGCAAGATAAAGCCTTTAGAACATTTAATTTATTTCAATTATAACGCTGGACTAGATGAAAACATATTCCAGATATAATAAAGAACATGAAATAAATAACAGTAAAAGAAAGCATGCACCAGGATATGTTCACGCAGTTCGGAGCCTCACTCCTACGTCTGCGGGGCCACTCACATCAACCCAAATCCACTATGATGAAAAAACGGATTACAAAAGGATAGTTAATTACACTCTACAGTATAACCTATAACTACTCCAGAACCTACTCCAGTGGATCCGATGTGCAGGCGTTCTTCATTGCTTCATGATCTGATTGCAAGATCTTCTTCACACACAACAGTACAGGATATCTTTGGTATAGATGCACCAAGATTTCAGTGTAAAACTTTTTGAAAGAGTGCGCAATTTTTAATGCTAATTAAGATAGCATTATATATAGGTTGTAAATGATGCTTTGATCCTCAAAGTATGCACTCTTCCATTCCTTGAATTCGGCTGCTCCATTAGATCTAGATCTCCCCATTGATAGGGTCTTGAATAAATACTTTGAACAAGCTTTATACCTCCTGGATAACTTCCTTGCGCTGATCCAATCAACTACTCTAGACGTGTGACTAATCCAGCAACTAATCCAGGACTACTTTGACAACTAATCTAAGCCAATAAAACAGAGGTTTAAATGTGCAATATATTTACACTTACAATACTCTTATAGTTTAAAAAAATATTAAATCTATATGAAAGAAATAAGTTTTTAATTATGAAATAGATACCTTAATTGCCTCTTAAAACACTACAAGCATGTAGTTTTCCATCTGATAAGACAGTTTGTCTGAATCCTCTGAGTATATGTTTCCAAGTGTGTATACTACTTTGTCTACCACTATGGATACTTGACTTATTCAAAATAATAACATTTTAATGTAATTACAATTTATAAGTTAAATATATACAGTTAAACCAATAGACTCCAAACTAATAATTATATGCTAATTGGTAGTTTCTACTTTTGTATAGAATAATGTAGGACATACCATAATGTATTCCTCTTAGACAATTTATCAAGCAGGCACAAGCTAAACAGTGACTCAAGCTCAATCGAAAGAATTATTAGACAATCATGGGATTCAACTGCAAAGTCCAAGTTAGCATATAGGGGAATACTTACAATGTAATATGATGTCAATGAGTTCACATTAACATAATTCTATCAGTGTTGAACTTCCAATTTTGAAATACACAAATTCTCCTGCACAAATTCATTATACTAAGTTAGACACTGCCTCAAAAAGCTTATGTATGCCAATGTTAATTTCAACTTAATTAAAATTCAATTAACTAACCAACTTACACTAACAGAGCTTTCTCGTGCGTTATAGTTGTTCCTGTAATATCAAACAGATTTGTTAGGCAAAGTATGTCGCCCATAGATTTAAGGTATACCAGAATGTTCACTCCCAAAATATATAAAAACATATTAATCAGAAAAATGTATATATTACAATCTATGCTAGGTGTCAACTATTTATGATTAACCACAAGATATTTTGTGGTTTAATAATGGGAAAGGTTAACAGCACACATAAACTTTTCAGCTTCTCTATGTGCTTGAAAACATGAATAATTAAGTCAATTAGATGTTTTTTTCAAGACAAGCCAAAGAAATGACTCAATAAATAAGACAACCTTCACAACATTATTGAATTTACCACTATTCTTCTGATTCTTCTTTAAGACAAAGAACTCATCCTACCAAAATCACAAACCATGAGGAAGATCACATCTTCATACACCATTGGAGCAAAGAGGAAGCATGGTCATCAAAACAAAGGTATTTCCCGAAACTAAACACTTAACTACACTGATTACAGTTAACTTTATGCATATAATAATTCATATGATAGCTAAACCTAGGCTTTTAGGATTAGAAACAACTTATCTGTAAATCAAATGTATTTCTACGAGTCTGACCACATCCTGTGTGCAAAGAACAGTCTCCTCCCAATTAATTAATCTGCAATAACAATAAGAAAAATGATATTAACACTAACCCTAAGCCCTAGGTTTGTATTTAAATACGAGAATAATCGGCACAATCAATAAAAATTGATATAGAACACAAAAATCAATAGTAGTTTGAATACTTAGCTCAAAAAGTATTCCGATTTGAGATCAAATCGACGATTGCCTCTTCTACTGATGTTATCGGTGTTTTGTTGATAGATCTCGGTCCAGAATCAGACCTAATCGAAACGATTCTCTGTAACCCTAAACTCTGCTTCATTTTGCAATATGAGATGATTGCATGTCGCAGATTTGTGTTCAACACTGTGTAATCTTCATTGTGAAGGTGTTTATAGCGAATCCCAACAAAACATGAAATCAAGAACCTAACAAATGCTTTTTCCGAAATGAAATAAACTCTAAAATGTTGTGAAATTACCAGAAATTAGAAAACATACACTCAGAATTCCAGATTGCCTCTCGGATCTCTAAGGTTTCTATAGAGAGATAAAGGGTTTCTTCATAGTGCTATGGTGTAGAATTTGAGAGTGAGAGATGCTTAAGAATCACGGTCGAAATTGGAGATCACCGGTGATTCTTAAGACTGGGATAGCGAGAGAGAGAGAGAGAGAGAGAGAGAGAGAGAGAGAGAGAGAGAGAGAGAGAGAGAGGGGGGTAGGTCTCTAATCAGACAGTGAGGTCAACAACGCATATTAGGTAACAATAGTCAGGTTCAGCATAAAATCCACTTATCTATTATCTATTATCTTGAATTATATTATATGCACAATATTATTATTTATCTATTTATTTATATAAAAAATGAAGGGAACATTTACTAACATTATTTAGTAATATTATTATTTCATAAAACTTAATCTAATATGTATAAAATTCTACTTAGTGACATTATTTTAGAATGTATATATGCTCATTGTTTTAATGTATATATGCTCATTGTTTTAACATAAGTTTGTTATTTTAGGGTGTTTTTTAGTGTATATATGCTCATTGTTTTAATGTCACTCTTCGTTTCGTTTATATGAATATGAGATTATATGAATTTAATTAGATACGCTTTTCTTAATATTCTTAGTTTTTGGAGTATTATAATTACTATTTTTAAATAATTAAATAATAATAATATATCATAAATTACTATAATAAATGTTTATTTTTGTGGTTCATGGTATTACATGGAGAAAATGAAGCTGTAATATGTAATGAAAATGCTGGATCGTCGTCAAAAAATACATTTGGTAATATGTCAAATCATAGGAGATTATTCGGTGTATTCCAAGATTCACTTGAAACACACTGTTGTTATGAATGGTGAGCAACTCATTTTGTCTACATGTAATATTTTTTAATTCAAGCCTAAACTTAAAACAAGTAATAACCATTAAAACTAGAGTCATTTAAAGTCTAAACTTAGTCTTTTAGATTACTGTTACTGTATATAACAATATAAATCTGAGTTCTATAACATGTTTACTGACTGTTAGGCATCACGAAACTATATAAAAGCTTACAAATACCAGACTTACTCATTGTTTTGTAAATTAAATCTCTACAAAAATGAACGTGTTAAGCTGAAATAGAATAAGCAAATACCAGACAATGTTAATTTCGAGTGACTGAGCGAGCCACCATAGTAAGGATTGATGGCTTTTGTGAGTCACCATGCTAGATCTGTTGATGAAAACAAGTATATTTACTTAGATTTGTAAAATCAACATAATGCTCTGAAGAACAAACCTAGATTGCGTTAAAAAGGTCCAAAGATATTGATATGAACCAAGATCTCTGTGAAACGGTAGGATACAGAGGCATGCATTGTGGTTGAAGATCATAGAACTCCAAGCTTAGAATTAGGAAAGTACAATGAACAATCGCCATCCTTGAGTTAAATTTGAGGACAATACTTACACAAGAGAGCAATAAATCTGTTAAAGGAAGAAATTGAGCAAGAGAAATTGAATCGTTGTCCAGAAATAATAAAGTCAGGTTTTCCCCATCACTTCTCATCTCAACAAGAAGGAAGAAACTTCTCGCATACTTCATGATAGGTTTCTAAATGTACAACTCCATATATATTACTATAATTATGTAATTATATTATATATTATTATAAATTATAAAGGTGTAATAATATATGTAAGTTTCCTATGTGAAGCAACAATTGTTCGAATTATATATATATATATATATATATATATATATACACACACATACACACACACATTATAGTATATTATATATAATATAAGTGGAAATTGACATTATATTATTTGTTAGAATTTTACTTTTTGCAAATCTTGACTGTGCAAATCATTATAAGTTCGTTCTAATATTTAGGGTTTCAGGTCTACCAAATCATTGAATTTTAATTTCGTTCTAACCTGTTAGTTCCTTTAGGGAAAGGTAGGTTAAAGTCCTAACCCTATCATGTTTCTATGTCTTATATTTGACTCTAATATTGGGTTTGATGTGAGTAGCCTTGCTGATAGAGAATTCCATTCTCCAACGAGAAGTATTAATTTTTTCTCCAGTCTTAGCTGTAGCAATGCAAATGATGGCTCAACAAGTCAACCATTTGAGGTGGTTACTATCAGTGATTTATATGACAAACAAGAGGTACTACTTAAAAACTAAAATCTGACTTTAATCTTGATGCTATGGTTTTTTGCAGGGACCTATGCTGACTTAATTTAAGTCAGTGGCTTGAAGACTAACTTAGAAAGTATGCCACTGTCATTGATTTACAATGTAGATGGTTTGAACTAACTGTCAGACAAGATTATATTTTTCTGTTTGCAGTAGAAAAATAAACATAGAATGCAAGTACCACACAAACTCTGAAGTCAATCCTATCTTCCTATATAAGTAAGCTGATGGGAGTACTATGAGGACAAGATTAAAAGGCACAATGTACACCAATAGTGGCTAGAGAAGAAGTTTTTTAAATTACTTAGATTAGTTTTTATCTAATCTAAGTGTACATTAGATCTATACTGTATTTTACATATTAGCAAGCAAATTGATGTGGAATACAAATAGAAATCATGTAATTGTTATAAATACAGGAACTCATTTTGAGTCATGCAAATAGAAGTGTGTCAAGAAACATGTAAATACAAATACAAATATTTCATGAGTGATAGAATTAACACTTAAAATCACATCTGAGCAACCAATTTGTAAAAACAAACACTTACTACATGAATCTTTAAATGTTAAATCACACATACCTAATGTGAAGTGAAAACTCCATATTTAGAGTTGGAGAGCATTATTAATAAGATCTGTTGAAAAAATAAGCAAAAACAGTGTTTCTGAGTGTAATCAATGAACACTTAAAGTAAGATTTGAGCAAACAAATTGTGTTAGTAAACCTTTACTAAATGAAAGTTTAGTAGTTGAATCACAAATACCTAAAATGTAGTTGAAACACTATATTTAGATTTGGAGAAAAGCAATAGGGGTATTAATACTGTAAAAAAAAAAAAAAAAAAAAAAAAAAAAAAAAAAAAAAAGCAGTTAGAATGAGTGAATCAATTAAACCAATGCATTCTTCCTATATTCTAAAGGAAGGAAAATAAAAGGCACATACCACAGACCTGTCACAACATGGGAATTGAAATATATGCAGGCTAATTCAACGTAGATAGTCTTGAGATCCTTTAATAGCACTGCATTATAAATAAAAAAAAAAAAAAAAAAAAAAAAAAAAAAAAAACCACTTAAAAAGAGTTAACTGTTTTGTCCCAACTAAAAAGCATATTAATCAGTAACTAAAATGGTAAGATTATGCAAACCTAATGGACAAAACTACAATTCTAAACAGTCTACACACATCACTGTTTAATAATACTGCATTATAAATAAAAGAACCACTTAATGGCTAGGAGCTCATCCTTTTGACAAGTGTATATATACAAAATACACTCTCTGGGCATGCTATATAATTTGGTATGTTCCTCGCCCTGCAAGAGTTCATTAAAAAAGAGCTTAAATTCACATTAATACAAACTGTTAAATCCAGATTATGCAACTGTTATATCAAAAACTTGCAGAACTCTAAAAAAAATGCACATAGGAAATAGATATGTAAAAGTATGCTCATATGTCTACTACTAATCTACTATCTAATGAATTGTGAATCGAATAAAGGATAAACGATTTCTACATTGTAAAAATTGGTGGGCAAAGTGGATTTACAGTGAAAACAATCTACCAGACCAGTCTACAGAGAAATCGGGCATACATATTTATATGCATACTGTAACCAGATTATAAACAGTGTTTTAACATAGCTTCTAGGGTTCTATAGAGCTGAAAATTAGGGTACAATTCGAAAAGAGAACTATGGATTTTAACAATGATAGTATGAAAGTTAACTTCTATGAACAATTCAACCTAGAAATTGAACAAATTTTGTAGCAAATCGTAGTTTAAAACGGCGAATCCAGCAAATATACTAACCAATACTGAATATACTAACCTCAGTATGAGATTCATAGACAAAAATGTTCTGCAAGTGCTTTTGAATTAACTATTTTCGAAGATCTATACTGTAATTGATTGTAATAGTAACCAAAATACACCACTGGAGTATAACTATTGATTGCTTAGTTCTGCATGTGTTTTTGAATTAACTATTTCCGAAGATCTATTTAGAACCCTAACTATGAATAGATTGTATGAATTTTACCTTTAACAGACAAATCAATCTCGAAATTGAAGGAAAGAACTACGAAATCGCCGTATAAAATCGCAATTTCACAGTGGGTTTGAACCTGCTCCGATGTCTCCATATGTTGCTACAGTTGTCTCTGTTGATGTTTGAGCTGGTGTCTCCATACGTTGCTACAGTTGTCTCTGTTGATGTTTGAGCTGGAGTAGAGAATGTAGTGTGGTTTCTGAAATGGCAAATGGTGATGAGATCTGAAATGACAAATGGTGATGAGAACTTCTGGAAACCGCAGAGAGGAAGAGAGCATTAGGAAATGGAGATGGAAATGGATGCTCGTGCGTGGTTCAGACGGGTTGGGGGCTTTTTAGGGTCATTATTATTATTATTATTATTATTATTATTATTATTATTATTATTATTATTAGGGAAAATTGTGGTAGACAAGTATTATTAAAATTATTAGTATTAATATTATTGTTAATAGGAAAAATTGTATTTTTTGTCCTTAAGTGAGCATTATTATTATTATTAACAAAGTCAAAAAATAGTAACACCAATGAAAATTTAAGAATGAAAAGTGTAACACTAATGAAAATTTAGGGATGAAAAGTGAGCTTGATCAACACTTAGAAATGAATTCTACAATTAACATATAACTTATCGACGAAAAGTGTAATTTTTCCTTATTAATATGCTATTATTGTTATATTATTAATTATTAATTATTCATATTATTGTATACTATAATTCATTTTTTTAGATTAACAACAAAAAGGGATTGAAAATATTGATATGTATCGATTCAATACAGTTAGTATTTCACCTACAAACGTTATTTATTGTGAAATTTTCAATCGTTTGTAATTTTTATTCTTATTTATAATAAAACTATTAATTCCATAGTCTTTTCCATAGTCTTTTTTTTTTTAATGCTACTGACTCTATTACATTGTAATTCCATAGTCTTACTTTTAATTAAAAGTTTTCTTTCAATATGTTAGCTATATAATTAAAGTTGTTATTTCAAATTTATATTAAAATTTCAGTATGATGTAATCTATTTCAATTATACATATTAATATTTTTGTATGTGCAATTTCCATAGATATTTTTTTATTGCAAGTACATTTAAATTATTTGAAAGAAATATTTTTTGCATTAAATTTTGAGAATAATTGCTTGATTTTATTTTTTTAAAAGTATTTTTAGTCTCATCAACAATAGCATTATTTAATTTTATGTCGTGCATCACATAGCGACCACGAGTGACCATTAATCACTCAATGATCACAAATGACCTCGAATGGCCACATATGACATTAACTCTTTTTAGTAATTACCCAGCTTAAATATCTATATATATATATATATATATATATATAAAAGAAATTTAATAACATTAATATTTTTAATAACATAACATATTAACATGATTTTAATATTTCAAATATTTAGTCCGGATGCACGGGTGAAATACTAGTGAATAAACTAAAACCAAAGGAGACATCATCCTCTTACTTTGTATCAAGAAGAGAATCTCCCCCATACTATTCGCAATAAACCTCATGGATGTAGCTTCTCCAATAATCTCCCTCTCCTCCAATGGAAGAAGGATTGTCTGCTTCTCCCACTCCATTGACCTCTCCCACCTCCATATATCTACCCAGTCGGGCCAGGTTGTGAAGGTTTCAGAGGCATTTTGTGGGCAAAGAATGTTAATGAAAGCTAGGCGACCATTCAACTTCATCCATGTCAGCCCACCCTGACGATGCTGCAGTGAGTGATACTCAAATGGGAATGCTATAGATGTGATAAAACTCTCCGTTGCAATATCTATTGCAGCTATCTTTGGTTCAATACTCGGGCTCTCCATTAATTCAGGAATCAAATAGATAATCCCATGAATGTGGACGGCAGTGTGGATGTATCCAGTGATGGCGTAATCGATCTCTCTCCATAGCTTGTCCACTCCCACAGTTAAAACATACGGCTGATCAAACACCCGCGGGCAACCATTATCATAGCACACCTCCACCACCGACTTGAAAATCTTGTACCTTTCCGAAACCGAGTGTAGACACGGGAGCTGTAATACAGTGCCGTACAGCCGGCCGGCCAACCAAGGATCGGAAGACAAATACGCCTTCCGGTATTAAGGTCGAAGACGGCTTCGTCTCCCGATGGCGATTCGTGGCAGAGACACATCTTGCCATTGGCAGAACATACAAAACCTGCTTGTATATCCAAACGCTGGGCAGTGTCGGCTTGGAGCTGAGGTTCCCATGGCTTTCTTCACCGTAACTCACGGAGTATAAATTTAAATCGCGGGGTGTTGTGGATGGGAGAGCGACGAGGATTCTGAACGCGAATCTTGGCTCCGGTACGAAGGAATAAAAGAATTTGGAGGTGCATCTGAATTGCACTGCTGATTTGGCCGGAAGACCAGTGAGAATTTTGAGAAGAATCTCTCGTGGAAGAGAGGTTATGGAAGTAGAAGGAGAAGTTGAAGGTTTATTCATCTGTCTTTTGAAGTTTGATCTTCGCAAATTCAATCAAGAATGGAGATTTCAGCATCCTCCCACATGCTCTGTTGGGTCCGAGTGTGAGATTCGTAAATTCAATCAAGAATGGAGATTTCAGCATCCTCCCACATGCTCTGTTGGGTCGTGTGAGAGGCCCTTAGGATTGGGAATGCAGCCTTTTGAGGTAAGAATGGAGATTTTCAGATTTATTAGGTGTGATACAGAAGTTGATATCAAGTAAAACACACAAAGTCATTGTGTCAAATCTCAATACATATAAAACAATGTTATTAAAAAGAAATAAAATCAATGCAATAAGATTAAAGCCATAAGATTTCAGCCAATCACATTGTTCTATTTTTTCGCTCAAACTTTTGGCATTTTTTTTTTAATTTTTTTAATTAAAAAAGCTAGATATCTCGGCCTACAAAATTTGGCTCAATTAAATCAAGATCTAATCGCTGAGATTTTAAGTTGCAAAAGTTGAGTAATTAAGGAGTAATTAAGTTGTCTTTTGGACTTCCAAGGCAACGCAGGTAATTATGGTTTGCAGCTAATTATGGTTTCATTGTATATGCAACCGATGATAATCAGAATTGATTTACAAAGAGAAATTCTATTTGCACCACCTATTTTGCTATTTACACTCCCTATTTATTAGGTGTAATAGCTTTTTTACAACTTCACTTTTTTACAATTTCAAGATACTTTATACTCACTTTTGATCAAAGGGTGGTGCAAATTGCACCACCCTTTACAAATTTGAAATGCTAAGGCACAACATTATAAATACATGCACTATCAGCCATTCATTAGTTCATCTCATTTACAACTTCTGAAAATAGACTTTCATTACAATACAAACACCACAAGATATGGATCCTTGCCAGCGACATATCTCCATTGAAAACAACTTCAGCCATCAAATTCAGATTGGTTCGTACACACCAAGTAGCAGAAAGGAGGGGCAGTGAGTCTAGCCATCAAACTCAGATTGGTTCGTACATACCAAGTAGCAGAAAGGAGGGGCAGTGAGTCTATCAAATCAAAAGAGTGCATATTTCACGAGTTAAGGTAGAAGTTAACAGTAAGTGTTTCTAAGGTTTCAGTCTGTTTTTTAGTTTATTCTAATCTCTTCATATATTAATATACTCTGATTGTGAAAGCTGGTGAGGTCAAGATATGCTCATCTTATGATGCCACACATCCGTTGAATCAAAATATACCAGAAATTGAGAATTTCAAGAAAAGGTGAGTCCTATCTTATCAGATTATTGAACTCAACAATTAGGCCCCGTCTCAGAACTAATATTTTTTTTCTCTATGTAATCTAATGTGTTTATTTATTTATTTGTTGTACTAATCTGTCATTTAAATTGGGACTAAAAAGAAAAAAGGGTAGACATTATTAACTGGAAACACAGAAAAAACAGATATAATCTATGTCCAACTTTATGTAAAATTGATAATCATACCATCACAGCATGTTCCCCTTAGCTTTAGTAATGGTCTTCACATCATCAAGTTTTGAGAAAAATGTATGAATGTTGTTCTTTTTTTGCTTCATCATGAATTTGTGCTTATCAAAAGAATAATCAACACTTTCTATGAGAGCACGTATACTGCAAAGCCAAATATTTTATTCAAAGGAAAAGAACAAAGAGAAACAGTTGAATGTACTCAATTTTATCTGGCTTTATATCACGGACGGTGTAAAAGTCCTCTGGCATGCATGTACTCAATTTGATTAATCTGAAAAAAGAAAAAGAGAATTAATAGGATAATCACAAATGGATAATAGATGAAGCATAGCTTGCAGGTAAAAAAGAATGCATAACATGTGTTTAGCTAATAACTACATACTATGATACAGTTGTTAGAGAGAACTTCCTATTGCAGTAGTTGAAGAGATCTTCCAAACTTGGACCATGGAGATCAATGACCATAGTGTTGCATTCACCCTCAGTGTAGCATTTTTATCTTTACTAGATGAAAATGATTAAATAACAGACAATCTTGTATGAAATACTTACCCAAAAACGAAAAAAAACTTAACAAAAACATGCATATGCAGGAAACAGAGGAGTGAAGAATGCAGAACAACCGATATTTGAGAGTGCAAAGAAGATTAACAAAAGAGGGTACTAAGAGGTTACTTCCTCCTTGGAGAAGCATATAAATTTTGTTATCAATGTGAAGGTGTGGTTTTCAGGTATTGACATGGGGGATTTCCAATGAGGAGTCCATGCAATATCATTTTGCTTCTATTCAAACTTATAATCAGTAGTTTCTCTCCTAACAGTAAGATTGGAGAAGGTGGATATGGTGCTGTATACAAGGTAAAACATTTGACTGGATCTACAACATCAATATATACATATGCTCATCTTAGTATTCCATCCTAATTGTTTCTTGATATATAACTAATTAATACTAGGGAATGCTTCCAAGTGGACAAGAAATAGCATAGAAAGGCTATCCAGGAGTTCAGGACAAGGAGAAAAAGAATTCAAGAACGTTGAAGTAGAAGCATTTCATATTTCATATTTAAGGGTCAAATTCATAAGACTTTTTGCTCATATTTAAAAAAATATTTAAGTAAATAAAAAAAAGGTTTTTCTTTATGGATCAGAGTAATAGAATTACTGGATTCTACTAATTTAGAGCCAAAAAAAAATAGAGATAAATAATCGTATGCATCATACTAATATGTCAAAATAGCAGATTAATTGAGCAATACAAAGACTAATTTCCTTAGCATGTACAGACGAAGAAATCAATTTTTAGGCAGATTAGCCTAGATTTGAGCTATGAATGTACTTATCTTTAGGAAAATTTCCTTAACCCTTTTTTAGAGAAGGGTTTAGACTTCTTAATCTTTCTGCATGTATAGGTCCAAGTGTTTCCAGAGCTCATATCTTCCTATATTGACTTTCGGATGTAGCAAGGTTAGGGTTTTGATGTAACGAACAACATTATATGTTTGTTAGTCGAAAGTGAAGAAATCATACTTGTGTAGAATCTGCCTCTATAGCCATTGAAGATGACATATGCTGGTCGAACAATTTAGGGCTTAGACGGAATGTGCATGTACTATTTATTTAGGTTTTGCGATGTGTAATTTTCGGAATTAAAAGGTGTGAACAAAGAAAATTGAATATATATTTAGAAATTCAAAGTTCTGGTTTACATATCAAGTATCAATGCGGTGTGGGTACATGTCTCTGGATATCCTCTGATTCTTCAATTGGTGCCTTGAACACTCCACCATTGAAGGGCCTCCGGGTTTCAAGTGGCTTGATCTTCAAAGAAGGGCTTGTATATATAGCTTGTTCTTCTTGAAGGGCCTCCGGGTTCAAATGGCTTGATCTTCAATGGAGGTTTGGATCAATAGGCATAGGCATGATCATTATGGAGGAGAGACTTCTACTTTCAGTATCACATTTTTATTGTGATCCTGAATAATATTTTTCTAGATGTTTACATCACTTTTCCTAGGATGTGTGAGATTACATAGAAATGAGAGCTCCTATTTATAGCTGTAGGATAGAGAGTTTTGATAAGCTCAAACTCTTTTGATATTATCTAATTAACAAATTAGATAATATCAATATTATCCAAAATATTTCAAATATATTCAAATATACTAATATTGATAAATAATCAATATTTATCAAAATTTAAGTGTCTACAAATGCCCCCTCGAGACTTGCTTGTACACCACTTGAGAGCATATAAAACTTGAAAGTATGTAGTGCAAGAAAGTCTCGACACTACAACTTAAAGATATAAGGCCGTTTCAACTCGTGCCAAGGAGCCTTGAAAGATATGAGGCCGTTTTAACTCGTGCCAAGGAGTATCATTTAGCCTCCTCCATTTCAAATTTCATATGGGGTTTGCCCCCATACCGGTTGAAAGTGCCTATGAAGAGATGAGAGGCAGAGCTGTCCTACTAGGTGTGCCAATTTGTAAACAAAGAAAATTGAATATATATTTAGAAATTCAAAGTTCTGGTTTACATATCAAGTATCAATGCGGTGTGGGTACATGTCTCTGGATATCCTCTGATTCTTCAATTGGTGCCTTGAACACTCCACCATTGAAGGGCCTCCGGGTTTCAAGTGGCTTGATCTTCAAAGAAGGGCTTGTATATATAGCTTGTTCTTCTTGAAGGGCCTCCGGGTTCAAATGGCTTGATCTTCAATGGAGGTTTGGATCAATAGGCATAGGCATGATCATTATGGAGGAGAGACTTCTACTTTCAGTATCGCATTTTTATTGTGATCCTGAATAATATTTTTCTAGATGTTTACATCACTTTTCCTAGGATGTGTGAGATTACATAGAAATGAGAGCTCCTAT